GGGCTTTGTTGTTGTGCTGAAAGGAGGGTGCTGCACCTTCCAGTTAAGAAGATCAGTGGTGGTTAAAGGCACATAGGTTATGCAGCTCGGGTTTGTCCTGAGAGGAGGGTTCTGGGTATTCTCGTTATAAAGATTAGTGTGGGTGAAGGGCACACAGGCATCAGAGGGCTGGGGAAGAGGTTGGGGTTGAGGAGGAGCTAGAGTCGGGGGCTGGGGTTTAGGGGCAGGCTTTTTCAGGGGCTGGGGTTGAGGGGCAGGCTTTTTCAGGGGTTGTGGTTGTGGTGGGGCCTGAGTCAGGGGTTGGCGTTGAGGCACAGGCTGAGGAAGTTGAGATAATGGGGAATGAAGATGACCATATATGACCATAAAAGTCTTCATCCACGGTGGTGGATTAGATGTTGCTTTTGCCCAAGGCACAATGTATGGAATTTGGTTCAGGTGACCAGGTAGGCTGTAGACAACATCTACTATGGCCCATGCCACCTTGGGATCGAAGGTGCCCTCAGAGGGCCATTCGACCCCAAATGTGGGCCATTCCTGTTCACAGAGGATCTGGAGACGTTTCTTGGTAATGGAGTAGCCAAAAGACTTAAATTTCCTAAATTTCCTGCGGTAAAGTAGGTGAAAATTTTTCAGTACACATTTTAAGGGAGTATCTGCTTTACTACTCTTATTACCCATTCTGTTGTCCAGTCACCCCAAGTCCAAACCACCGAAGACTCAGGACAAAGAGACAGAAAAGACAAAACAAAACAGGACACAGGGGGTCAAGAGCCAGGAGGGCAGTGTGACTTCTCCTTAGTGCCCCGCACAGGAGTTCATGTGTGTCCTAAGACCCCTCACTGTTCCCAAATGGGATCACAATAGAACCAGGATCAGATGTCATAGAAGGAAAACTATGAGTTACCGATAGAGGCCTCCTCAGACAGGTACTTACCGGTTTTCTTTTGATGCAGCCTTGGGCCAGCCAAACCGGAGCAAGCCCAAGGACCTCAAGGAATGTCTCACAGTGCACACGGGGTGGGAAGTGTTGGTCCAGTCCCTAAGGATCAAAGGGAAGGGTTCGGGTTCTGAATTTGGGAAGGGGATCTTATATCATTCAAGCTTCCAAATGATAATCCCACTGAATAAGGATGAAAACCTATGTGTGGCGTCTGTCTACCCCTAAGACAGGGTTCGAGAGAACAGCCCGGAGCACCTCTCTTACAGGACAAAACCACACAGAGATTTTGCAAGCAGGAGGGTTTAGAGAAAGAACAAGTTTGCCATGGAACAGTTCCTGGAACATCTGGTACAAAACATTTTGTTGTTGTGGGGCCGGGGGCAGCCGAATGCCCAGAACCGGAAAAGTAGTTTTGGCTAAGTTTCAAAATGACTGTTGCTCTTAAATGGCTTCCGGCGGCTTTCTCAACCCAAATCCCCGGACCCAGTGGACCCGCACTCCGCAGGGCGCTCCTCCCGCCGGG